GCATAAATTTTCTATTTCACCATCATTCCACGCCACATACATTTGTGTTGCAAAATGCGTGTCAGTATACCTGAGTAATTCTCACAAAGGGATTGGGATCCTGTTGTGTTGGCATGTCTTGTCAGGTGCTGGGTAACCTAAGGGTGGTCTTACAGTGTGGTTGGTGTGGATGGGACTTGGTTGGGGAGGTCATGGCCTTGCCAGCCCCATGGCTGCCCTCAGGTCCTGAACAAGCCCAGGAGTCTGACTCTCCTGGGCATCAGCTTCCTTCAGGATACATGAAATATTTTGTGTTCCCCTTCAACAGGTCCTACCTTCTCCTGGGAACAGTTATCACAACAGCTTGTGAACTGCCATGGTCTACAGCCTGGTATTCATGATCAGCCAGCAATGATTTTGGTTTTGTTTTATATGCTGTTCTGTATTTTATTCTAGTTCAGTACTGGCTATGCGAGTGTCGGAGATTCATCCTAGAGAAGTCAGGGGTAGGCAGAGACCTCTCCAGTTCTCCCAAGACAGCCCCTTCTGGCACCAGAGCTCTTGGTCCACATGTGTGGAGTGATCTGCTGGAATTGCTTGCAGGTGCTGTTCCACGCTACTGACAAAGACATTGCTACCTATTCATGAATGGCTTGTGAGAAATGAAAGTCAGAAAATTCACTCTATGTGATCTGAAAGATCTGTTAGTAACAATGCCTCAGTTTAGCATTAATGTTTGCAGCATTAGGAGGAAGTCTGAGAAAAGTACCAAGATAACAAAAGCTTCAGAAACGATACTGATCTTTCATAAGAAAGTAGTAGATGTAACAGTTGTGTTCTTATCTTTCAAAAAGTTGCCAAATGTTGTATGAAGTTGTTTTGTAACAGACTAACAAGGGCTGCTGTAATGCACAGAGTTCTGGGAAATGCACAACACAATTTTTCAAAACATTGTTTATGAAAAAGCTATTTTAAAATAATGTTGGGTTTTTTTTTTTGCTTACCTTTTTTCTCTTCCAGAAAACATATATTCATATGAATAGTGGATGATTTCAAGGTTTCTTTTGGACTACTCTTTCATTCTCTGTCTCTGTGCCTCTGGGCAGCAGCCCTCTTGAGCAAGTCAGCTGGTCACCCCTATTTGGTGTTATCTGCAAATATGATGTCAATGCACTCTATTACCTCCTCCAAGTCATCAATAAAGATGATAAACTGGATAGGTCTCAGGATAAACCCCTGTGGTACCCTATTTTTCACAGGATTTTACCCTTGGTAAAATCATACTGACTCTTCCCAGTGCCTTTCTTTCATTAATGTGTCCAGAAATTGGCTCTAAGAAGACTCATGAGATGAGATTTTCAGGCTAATAGACTTGCAGTTCTCTGGGTTGAACTTTTGGCCTTTTTAAAATAAGTTGAAGTATGTAGTCTCTTTTCAGAAGACGGGAAAAAATGAGGAATTTCTTTAGTTTCTATTTAACAAGACCATAATGCCATCTCCTGAGGGTCTGCATATCGTCTTTATTATACTTTCCTATTCCCTTCCCTGAAGAGTCAAAAAATGTTTTATAGCTAAATTTTGGTGGGTGAGAACCAAACTGTGGTTTACTCCAGCAATTTTGCCTAAGAGGAAAGATATTGTGAAAGTAAGCGTACTAGTATAACTCCATCACTCTTTTAGCAGGTGGTTGTGAGTATATCAAGTCTGTCAACTGCTGCATACTGAAAGAAATACAAATATGGTTTATATGTGTGTCCAGTGTGAACTTAACCTCATTACAAAATTGGCATTGTTGTTCTGATCTGCTGCAAAAAGCTTTCCAAGTGAGTCTTTGACCAAAAGGCAATTATTAACTTTGTCAAAGGCAGTAGGTGTGCCAAAAGCTGTTTGCATCCAGCTTCAGTAGGAGGTGGACAGTGTGTGGGATGGCCCTTGGCTTCCCTGGTGACTGAAAGAGCTGGAACGTGTTCAGGAACAACCATTCCCAGCATTGGTTTGGCCAGGATTTGCAAGTAATGTCCTGAAGAACTCCCGGACATAATCCAGAGGTTAGCTCAGGTCAGGGATAATTTCTAAAGGCAGTTTCCATGTGCCCACCTTATTTAGAAGTTTAATAAAATGTGTTTGGGCTCTAATATGGCAATTGGCCTCTGTGCAAGAAAGTAGTCAAATATATAACCATAAGGGAATAATTTCTAAATAAATATGAATAGGGACATATGGGAGTACTTAGTCTAATAACCAAATGTCTAGTATCATCATAAAATTTGTGTAGTAATCAAATAGCTGTGTTCAAATGTCCGGTATTGATATGTGAGCCTTTTGAGTCTCAAAGTGAAAAACAATTTTACACCAAAACATAAACCTGATGTTTCAGTGATTTCTCACCCAATTATGAAAACATTGTGAGACTCCCAGAATCTGAATCTCAGAGACCAAAAGCAGTGATATGGACTTGGAGCATCACATGTGATGCCTATATTGCAGTCCATGATAAAGTCATGGCTACTCCCACTCCAGTAATTTCCCACACAGTTAAATCAAATGGTGAAATGTGTTCTTTGGGCCCCATTCATAATATAAACATATCAAATAGTAGGGTTTTTTCTCACTTTAGAAAGAAAAGTTGAGTGTTGAGGCACTCTCAAGCACAAATACAGGCTGGATGATGAAGAAGTTGTGAGCAGCTCTGCAGAGAAGGACTTGGCGATGTTGGAGGATGAAAAACTGAGTTTGAGGCATGTGTTCTTGCAGTCCAGAAAGACAACCATGTCCTGGGCTGCCTCAAGTACAGCGTGTCCAGCAGGTTGAGGGAATCGATTCTGCCTCCCTGCTCTGCTCTCATGTGATACCACTTTAGATACCACTGCTCTAAGCAGAGAAAACAGGCAACAGGACATTTACAGTACTCTACTCAACAACACTAAAATGGAGTTTCTCCTGCAGAACACAATCTCAGTTTTGAAATATGACAAAGTAAGTCTTACATCTCCCAGGCCTGTAGGAAAATGGCCTAAGGTAGCCTACATCAAGAACAATACCCCAGAAGATGTCCCTATTCATATTTATTTAGAAATTATTCCCTTATGGTTATATATTTGAAAAGGCTGTTACAAGTCCTTTCAAAAGTGCTCCATCCATACGAATGAATTTATGACAAGGTAAGACCACATCAGACACCCATGACCAACAAGAGAAATATATTTTTCTGAAAACCTTTGATGGAGCTTGTATGTTTTCCAGGAGTGAAACTGTAAGAACAGAGGTTGGGTATACACTTCCCATAGAAAATGAAAGAGGAAAAAACAGTTGGTCCAAATCTAATGTATTCATCCTTCAAGATGAACCATTGCTCTGTACAGAAGTATCTGAACTTTCTCCAATAGAAATGTACATCGGTGCTGGTCTCAAAGTCTCATCATTAAGTATAGCAATTTCTAGAGAATACATGTAGTAGTTGTCTTGTGCAGATGTGATACCTTGTCATGAGTCTGAGAACTCTCCAATGTTTAGAAAAATCTAGACCTCCTCAGGGCTCAGGCTTTCTCCACCTATATCTGACCTCATACTGGCAACTCTAAATTCTATTGGAAATGTCTGAACCCTCAAAAAGACAAAGGTTCTCACCAGACTAGTCCCTTTTCTGTCTGATAATGATTTGCATAGTTATTAAATTCCGTGGTCTGCAGTACTGTTGGATTAGAAGGTGAGAAACATTTTCCTACCTCTATAAAAAAACAATTACGTTATTGAAATGGGTTGCATTCCTCCACAATAAGACGTGAGCACCCCTCTTTCACCACTGCACCTCAGCTCTTTCTCCCTTGGATAAGAATCTCAGTTTATGATGCTTTCTCACTGCAAAGACTAAAGACAAAGTGAAACCGAAAGCAAAGAACTGTCTCTAAAGGACATTATTTCTTTTCCTATCACAGAGGGATCACCAAAACACGAGTTGCCTGAGCTCCTCATCTTTTCCAATATTGGTCTTTCCTATGCTTCCCTCAAGCCCTAACAAGCAGAGATGTGGTGCTTAGGGACATGGTTTAGTAGTTTAATGGCGGACTTGACACTGCTAGGCTAACAGTTGGACTTGATGATTTTAAAGGCCTTTTCCAACCTAAACAATTCTATGATTCTATGAGTCTCAGCATTGATCCTTGAGGAGCATCACTCCACAACCAGTCACTGCATTCAACATCGGCCTGGGCTGTTTTCCCGATACCTTGTCCTAACCCTGTGTCATTGAACACTTAATGTTCAGCTCAGTAGCAAAACCCTCTACTTGAACAAAAGAACACAGAGATTGAGTCATGCACTTGATATTTTAAAATATTAAATTAAGGTAGTAAAAAAGCAAGTGAGCAGTAGGAAAACAAAAAGCTAGATACCTGCAGAAGTAAATTCTGGGCTTATATCAAGTTAATGGTGGCTGATTTCTTACTTTGTAACACAAGCTCTAGGATCAGGTAGAATTTTAAACATGCTCCTGTCCTTTGAATTCCTGTTGAATGCAAGCCACCACTCAATGTTTCAGCATGTTTTCAATTCCATTCTCAGTTTTCTAGTTGCCCATGTATACTTTAAGAGATCCAAAGAAACTTCAAGAATGAATAGGCTCATTCATGATAGTAGAGCAGTGGCATTCAGGCACCAGAATTTTTTTATTTTTTTTCATGTTAACAAATTCATTCTTATTGTTTTTAATATGAGTCAAATCCATTGTTTCCCTTAAACAAATTGAAATGTAACTAAAACTTCTTGACTGAAACATTTCAGTCATAGTCACAAAATGGAAGGTACCCAATAAGGACAAAATACCCAAACAGATCAAGTTAGCCAAAATTAAGAGCAAGTACAATGGCATTTTAAAAAAAAATTACATATGAGGTATTGTCTCTTGACTGCACTACTGGTTTTGCCAAGAAAAGGAAGAAAGTGAAGAAAACCTATATGGTATTTCAGACTTTGCACAGGAATATACAGTTGCCTGCACTTTCAAATTTATCTGTTTTTCTTGGTTATTTCACTATGTCAGCAACTAATACTATCTCTTCATTTTCAGATGTCACTGAATGAATTTTGCTCTCCATCAGCTGAAAGGAAAATAAAACCTTCCATTAGTTCTATACATAATGTTAAGTTAGCCTCTACTTACTTATGTACAGTTCTGAGAGTATTTTAAATTTTGTTATGTATTTTGTACAAATAGTACATTTTATTTCTTAGCTGGTAAGCTTTCATTAGCTGGTAGTTAACAGTGAAATTTCAGCAACTTTTTAATGCTGACATGTGATTTTTGACTGGCCTGGAAGTGGACAGGGAGAGTGTGTTTTTCTTCAATGCACCATGGAGATTATCACAAATCATTTCAAATGAATTAATACAAAAAGATTAACTTCACTAAGGTGTGAGAGTAGATGAGTATACATTGACCTGAAATTTAGATAATTAAACAAACCATGAGAAATTACTGGATATAACATAATGAACTACTGGGCAAGAAAAGGGCGCAAGTGAGCTGCTGATTGGTATGTTGGTCTGGTCAAATGCTGTGTGACCATAGTGTTTGATGGTGTAGTCTGGTGGTTACCTTACGAGATCATATTTTGACTGTTCTCCGTGTCACCTTACTTTCTATCCTATGCATGTAACTTGCTAGCAAACTTCATTGAAGCTCGACTAGTGGGTGAGTAGGAGAGAACTGCACCTGGAGAGACCCAAGGTGAGAGAGCTGGTGATATGGTAGGGGGACAAAAGGTCCAGACACAGAGTTCAGATGTGAAGAACTTGAGCATTTACGTTTGTTGTTAATGAAGAGAGTGAGGATGTATGCACATCTCACTGGAAAACTTGAGCCCTGCTCTGCTGTATCTGAGCAGGACTGGGATGTCTGTGACCCTGTTTATGTGACTGCTGCTGGTGTGGGTGTGGTGCTGGTAAAGGCACCTGTGCTGATCTCTGTGGATGGCTGCGTTAGTGTCCTTTGTGTGTGTCATTGCACATGTGTGTGCCTCATGTTGGGAAAATGCATAACCCTTGCTGTTCTTTGAACCTACCAATGCAAACAACAGCCCCTGGACCTATGAGACTGGAGTGGGAGAAGCCTTCTGGCTCTGGAAAAGCACTGCATTTAACTTCTCTTAACAAACTTGGCCTGTTGATTTTCTCATGTAATTCCTCAAAATATGGCGAAAAGAAGATTTATTCTCTGTGTTAAATCCTTAAAATTTTAAAAATACCTTCAATGATCTTTCATGTGTTTCACACAGATAAAACTGAAAAAGAACATACCTCTGGATTTGTATCAGTCAGTCCACGAAATGCATTTTTTGGCTCTGGGATTTGTGGAAATGCTGCCTTCCAACAGCCAGTCCTGGAAAGCAATAGAGATAGAATAGAAAAAAAAAAAAAGTAACCATCATATGTCAAAACCATTGTACCCTTGAACCAGATCTTATCATCCTCTTCCAGGACAGAAGTGAAAAATATACGTAATTTCAGCACAGAATGAACAAATATCAAGAAAACACTAAGAATTTGGATGATATTAGTTTCATTTTTGGTTAAAGATTCGCTAGTAGTTATTCACTTATTTGAAAGGAAAAGGAACTGCCAATTGTCCTGCTCTTTAGGTCACAACAATCAGTTAACAGTGACTGTAAAAATTTGAACAAGTTTAAAGAACTGTATCTTCTCTGAATTACTGTATATTTCTATAAAAAGTGCATGATACAGCACAATATCCTTTCTGTTTCTGTTTTGCTTGCATGGTTTATTTCAAGAAGCAAACTGCTTGGCTTTAATAAGCTTTCATAGAATCATAGAATATTTTTTGTTGGAAAAGACCTGTAAGATAATAAAGTCCAACGATTACCCTTACATTGCTAAGCCCACCAGTACTGTATTGTTTAATTTAAGTCATTGCATATAATTGCTTTCCTTGCTACGTTGACAGGAGAGGCCTGGAAAAAGTTGTATAGACCACTTGGGGAGGGACTTTGGGCATTGCCATTGTAGTACTTGCCTCAGGGTCCCTCATTTAGATTGCTTTGTACTATAGTGTGAGTGAAAAATTTTCTCTATACTATAGTGACACCTCTGCCTTACTTGTTCAAGAACTGCAGATGTTGCACACACAAACACAAACTAAAATAAATTAAGTTTACTTTTTGCAGAACAAAATCACGATGATTGCCACTAAGAGTGTTACAACTGCTATCGCAAGTAAAATCCATACTGAAGAAGGAGCAATTTCTTCATGTCCTGAAAGAGAAACAGTCATAAAGTATTACTGTTACTAAAGAGGATTAGGTGCACAACTGTGTCAGACATCTGCTCCTGTGACTGACTGGTGAATGTCAGTCTGAAAAGTTTCTCTTGGAATAAAAATCAGCGCTTCCATTTGGCACCTTAATGATGATGTCTGCTGGGAAAGATTGACATTGAGCCTGTGTGTACATTCCAAGAAGTAAGCGGGTACAGACTTCAGCTACAAATGTGTAACTTTTTATATAGATTTCCAATGTTAGGGTGTGAAAAGCTATACTAAATCTCTTCCTCTTCTTCTCAGCAATGTGGAGGGAAACAAAATGTTTGCCAGTCCTTTATATATCTATGTGTCCACAGGAGAACAGCAACATGTGAGTTAGACAGGACATCACTGGTGGAAGAGTAGCCCAAGGCATGAATTTGTTCTTACCAAATTCAACAGGTGCACTCCACTCGCCCCAGCTTGGGTTCACGAGGCAGGCACTGCCGGCTGCTCTCATTTTCAAGAGGTATTTCTTTCTCGTATTGAATCTTGGTAATGTGTGGCTATTTCCCTCTGTCTAAAAACAAAGCAAAACTAAGTTGTTTTTGTTTGTTGCATATCTAGCTGTTGATAATACACAAGTGCCATTTGCTAGTGAAAATTTTACGAGGCTATGACAGCATTGCTTATTAAAGTAAACTACTATTCCAGAGCAAAAAATGCACGTATGTACATGTATACATCTGTGTATCTCAGAAATTACCTATCACTCAGCAAACTTATTAAGTTTAGAACCTTTTCATCTTTTGCACTACATCCTGAATTTCTTATGATATAGTCTGATTTACTGATAATTTTCCTTGGCAAGTTGAAAGAGGCTTAAAAATATCTTGAACTTTCTCATTTTGATACTGTTGGATTTGAATAGTTTGAGAAATAAAATGACTGCATGCACCTCATCTTCTTCAGTCTTTCCGTTGCAACTTTTCAGCAAAAGCATAACTTTCTAGCCAAATCTGTAAACTAGAAGACTGTAGTATTTCACTAATATGCATTGAAACACACTTGCTTTTGGATAATTTTACTATAGAGGTGGGACATGCAAAGGTGCACTGATTAGGAGGCAGTACAGCATACCTGGAGGACAACCTCCAGCCCAAAGGACTTTTGTGGTCTTTATTCTGTGCCTCTTTTCTCTGTTGTTTTTGATGTGTAACTTCAAATTCTATTCCAAATACTTGAGGGGAAGAGTGGACTATATAATATAAAATTGAAGGTTTTTCAAAATACAGAATAGTAATAAAGTTCTGCCCTTGAATGTATAATAAATGACATGTCACAATGATTTAACAGTTCGACATATTCATGAAATTTATAAATAAGGATCCTGAAAAGCATAGGACATTGAACACATGCTGATTTAAAGGCATTTGCATGCTATTTACTTCTCACAAATATCTATGAAACTAACATGTATTACTGATTAATAGAACAAGCAGACTTACCTCTGTAGCAGTATATTTGGTTTTTCCTTCAGGATTATCCTGTAAATTGAGAAAGAAGTTCAGAAGAAGTAGTAGTTTATTTAACATAATTCATCTTCAATGTCAATGTTATATACTAACTAATTCTTCTGTGGAAAAGTATGTGTGTTCCTTACCACAAGATTTGGGAAATAAATTTTATTTCAGATTGGTGATTAAACCGAAATAAACTAACCAGACGTGAATGGAAAGTCTGACTTTATTCTTACACACACTAGGAAAAAAAAGATAAAAATCTGTGAAATATACTTTTTAGTTTACATCTAGTTTATATTTTTCAATAAATGACACCATATTTAATTGCAACTACTTTGCAAATATCACTTCATTTTTCCTCAGATGAAAATATTCAGGACTGACATGGATTCACAGATATTTTAGGCTGCCCTCCAGCTACAATTTTGGGAGACAGAATAAAATTCATTTATCTCTTCTGAATATCCATAATGACTACCATGTAATCTAGTGATGACACACCAGTAATGACTTCAGACTACACAATCTCTATTAGTATGCCAGAGTTATGTACTAAAAAGTACATAAAGAATGCAAAATAATTAAAAAAATAGTTTGCATTCTTCATTACACCATTTTAAAGCAAAATGACATGAATACAGACTTGCTGTAGCAAATAACTGCGTGCATGCTCATGTGGCATCTGAACATGTGTTTGCAAGTCATGCTGCTGTACAGGACAGCTTCTAGAAGGTGAAAACAAGCTGCCTTGAGCATAACGATCAATCTAAGAGAAAGTGAAGCAATATAGTCTCCCTTTTTTTACGTTTGTACTAAAACAATACATGAGAAATGAAAATCATGAGGTCATGGAAGACTTCAGAATGTGGACTTCCAGAAGTGGAGTTCTGTTACAAATTTTTGGAAGAAAAGATTTATTAAAGGGCATCTTGTATATAAAAAAAAAAAAGAACGAGAATGTGTATGACAAAGAGACTCCCTCCTGCAGGAGATGGCAGCACTAATGCGGTGACCTGATCTGATGTAGGTTTGTTGCTTGCCAGGAGCCAAGATGCTGCAGAAGGACGGCCAGGCTTGTCAGGCCATTGAACTATTTCCGTTCTCCTATGTGGACACCAGTGATATGGTGAGTAACCTGGATGGTTTCAAAGGTGATTGCAGAGAACTGGGGAATGGAGTGAAGGAAGCCGAGATGGTGTCTCCTCAGTCTTTTCAGTGAGAGAAAAAGGCTTGAGCAGAGTTGCACTCATCTAGCAGGTCAACATCTGTCTGAGGGGCTGGTGTCACAGGCAACATTTGTCTTCTACAACCTTGGGACCCTTTTTGAGAAATAGGGACTACTGCGCAGGCATGGGATGCATCTCATCAAATTAGGTGAGAGTGTCCTTGCAAATGGGCTTGCTAACCTGATCCTTGTGTTTTATGTAAAACAGTGCCTTGTATACATAAAGCTCTGTCTTAGCACAAATGATGAACCAATAAGAGAGCGTGTGAGGAGTCATCAGAGGAAAGACCAACAGAGGTGACAATGTAGTAGGTGCTTATTCCAGGTCTCCTGATCAGGAGCAGGAAGCAAGTGAGAACCTACTGAGGAAACTTGAAGAGGTCTTACAGCCACACAGGCCTTGGAACTCAAGGGAAAGTGCTCTGGAGGACAAAGTTGCTAGCTGATCTACAAGGACAGAGAATGGTCCATTCCGGTGTGTAGAAAATCAAATAAGTGTGCTAGGTGAGCATGGCAGGAGATGAGGCTTGAGTCTGAGCTCGAAGACAAAAAAAGACATATGCAGAAAATAGGAGAAGGGATTTGGGAGGAGTACAAAGATGTAATGTGCGCATACAGGAATGGTGTCAGGAAAGGTAAAGCTCAACTGGAGTGGAGGCTAGGAAGGGAAGGGAACACAAGAAAGATTTTTACAAGTGCCCTGTCAGCAAAAGGGAAGTTAAGAAAAATGCAGTACAGGTTTATACCTGGCAGTGGTAAAGCAATAAATTTTGCAATACAGTAATTTCCGGACCTTGACATAATTAGTAACATTAAAATCGCTAATAATTATTTAAAAATTACTAGGCAATTCAGCCTGCATATGAACTGGACATTCTTTGTAGACTGAATATCAGATATCTTAAAAGACTTTAAGTATGTATTGCTTTAGTGCAATGCACTTCTATTTCAATGTCATACAGAGATTTCCATAAGCTTTCTGTGCTGCAGGGGCCGAGGGATTCAGAGAAATAGTGCGGCTTTGTAGCAGTTAGTTGAGGTTGCAAGAAAACTCATCTATGAAGTAGCAAGCCTGATCCAGACGAAGTTCCAAATAACAGAAACCTCGGGAATGCCTTCAGTCAGGCAAGAAGTGGCCAAATCTGTTTGTAGCGTAGGTAGGTTTTCCCTTTGTAGTCACTGTCTGCCACCCTGTGGTGATTTAGTGGCAATTCCGCCACAGCCACAGTATCTTTAGGCCTACTCGTCTTGTAGCAGAACATGGCAATCTCACTCCTTCCATATCGCTGCAAAAAGACTTGTAAAACCAAGGTCTGAATTTAGCCGAAAGGTAGTTTCAATGATTTCCTCAATAACCTGCGTTTAGTAACACTGCTTTTCTGCTTTCACATTTATTTTCCTTTTACTTAACATTGGAACAACAAGTGTGTTGCTTTTGTATGATAGCTGGATAAGCTATTTACATTCTGTATATACACAAACTTCATTCACCTCCATCAACTCATACTTATTAATTGGATGCACGTTTCTCTATTCAATATTTACAGCCCAGCTCTGCCCTTTCACAGAGATGCTGCCAACACTGGAAGGACTCCAATCCCAGGCAGCTCCGACAGGTTTTAGTGAAAGAATAGAATTTTCTAAGCTTTGTCACAGCCAAAGCTGTGGTATATTCAATTGTTGATTAACCATCCTTCTCCCTTTAGTCCCACACAGTCACAGTCATCCAGTGTATCTTCGCAATATCTCACACAGGGAAACAGGGATAAAAAAATGAGCCAGCATGGCATAACAGGGTGCCTGAAAAGCACAACCACAAAGGAATATGGTGCTATGTATGAAGAAGGCTACACCATACAAGAGAGATTGATTTTCTTTTGATCCATATGTACTGGTAAATGCAAACTTCTGTATTAATGTTAAATGTAGCTGGAGAAATTCCTCTTACCTTATATTTTATGTGGATTTCATATTTAAAACACTTGTCTATGTTTGAATGACTTATTTGGGGTCGTTGCCATTGAATTATGTAATTATTTTTAATTTCATCAAAAGTGACAGTGATATTTGTTGGAGACATGAGCTTTTCTGAAATGATATAACCAAAAATTGGAATAAATAAAATCATTTAATCTCTTTTTACTTTGATAAAAGAGAGTGCAAGTAATACTTCTATGATGAAAGTTACTCATCTGTATCTGTTTTTCTTAGGGACCCTGCAAGAAATAATTACTTAAATCCTGTCCCAGGATTAGAAAAAACAAGGAGTAAGCCAGGGAACATCACTTGGGAGTATAGAAAGTTACAAGCTCCCTGCATTTACTTTTCTAGATGAATAAGATAGAGTTGTGTGTTCTTTTTATAAGGATGTTTTGTAGTGCAGAACAAAAAGCTAATGTTAACCCTAATGTAGGAAAACCAAAGGTCATTTCTTTCTTCAAGCCTCCTTACATGATGCTTCTGTGACATGATGGTATTGCTTTCTTGGTATTGTGAAATATGCAATTATTCCCCCTTGCAAAAAGATAACCATACAAATTTAAGAATGATATTCAGTTTCAAGAATCCAGCCAACTTCTTGTATCTCCCCTAGTTTTACAGATGTCAGCAAAAATATGACCTTTTTATTTTGATCATTGCCAAGTACTTGAGTATTGTAACAGCAAAAGACAGTCACCCATGACAGAATGGGTGAGAAAAGACTGATGAAACCTTAGTTTCAGCTAGACTACTACTTTGCCTCAATATTTAGAGACAGGCCTGGCCTATTTGTGATGAGCTCTTTGGTCAAAAAAATAGTCTTGTTTCATCTGCCACGAGTGATACTACAGCTCAATCCTTTCTCCTTATAGAATGAAGCCTCGCTTGTCCATTTTTTGGAGGCAATACCAAAAACAGTGGGACTTTGCCAAAAAGACTTTGCCACAGTAAAAGTAATTGCACAGGATTCTTCCAAGTAGAATACGTCCTGTGAAAGCACACATGAAAACCTGCGGTGTTATGTACAAGTATTACTCTGTTTAACCAAGGATATGGTGTCAATTTACGTCACCTCCATTGTAAATGAGGAAGAAAAATCAATGCTCAGATGAACTTCTCCTGAAAAATATCCTCTGTTGAAAGATATTTAGTGAGCATTAGAAGGACATCAGGGAGAAGTACAAACTCTTAACCCCTCTGGACCTTGCTGGAGAAAGACTTAAAACTAATAAGGATAGATGGCTAAAGAATCTGAGGCAGGCTGCAGATGTGGAGTTTTCTTGCTTAATTTTACACTTTGCTCTTTTGCTCATGGAACAGATTTTCTTGAAGAGGCTACACTCTCTTACTCTCAACTTCAGGTGAGATTACCCTCATGCAATAATGAAAATAAAGCAGAAAGGAATTATTTACTTACCAATTTTATACAGTTGAATGTACTCATCATGGAACTGGATCAGGGAGTCTTTGCTAGACCCATTCACCAGGAAGTAAGCTTTCTCACTATTTATTGTCACATTTTGGAATCTGCATCCTGTGTTTCTGCCATTTTCATCTTTAAGGTAAAGCTCACATTCCATCTCCTTGTCATCTCTGCATATAGGAAAGTATTTTAGTTAAACCTGAGCAATGTGATGTGTCAAATGAGAACTCAGACTTCTCTAAATCCAAGCAGACCTACTTACCTTGAGTTCTGCCAGTAGAGGAAATATTGGGTATCTCCTGGAGCATTCTTGCCTGCCTGCCAAGTGCAGTTCATGAAGGAGATGTTGTAAATCACACAGGAGAAGTTAACAATGGCTGACCCATTCATGCCTACAAAGACAGGAATATCTGTGATGGGGAAAAATCGTGTGACTGCTCCAAGCTGGAGGAAGATCTTAGAACATGCTTAGATATGTTAGATATCTGCAGCTCCAGCTGGCTATTGCTTGAGTTAGGAAGTACTTACCTCATTTTAGGTAGTAACACTGGAAGATATTTGCACTAACAGATTCCATAAAGAATTTGTCATGGGTAAAACCTCAAAAAAATTTTTATAGCTGTGTCTGAAAGAATAGCTCTCAGGGGAGCCTACACTGCTCTAGTACCGGCTGACACCTAACATGGCTACCCATGTGCTTTGACTTGTTCCTATTCAAAAGGAGACACTAGTTCCACAACACCACAAACTGAAATATTTGCCCATCATCTTTAAGCACCCTGCTGTAGCATTGCTATGTGAAGGATGTTTTTCAGCACCCTACAGTGTCAAATAAGTGGAGGAGCTTCACTGTGAACCCCAGAGAGCAAGAGAAACCTAAGTGTAGAGCTGTGCAGTTTTTCAAGACTTCACGGAGGTGTAGATGCAATCTTGTGTTTGTCCTCTGCAGCGATACGTTCTTCCTCTTGGAATTAACATCAGGAATGTTCTTCTGATTACAAACGTATCAATTTACTCCTTAGCCTCAACCCCTAAAAAGCCCAATGAGACTAAATATACATTTTAAAATGAAGGATCATTTATCTATCTATATTTTTATGAGGAATCAACAAATACTTTGAGCTTGATGAGGCAGGAGGTAGTGTCATTTTGTATATGCCAACTCCATGTTGCTTCAATGAACAGATCTTGTACCTCATTCTCTTGACAGTCTCGTATATATTACACTTCTTCTACAAAGAGGAGCAAATTCTGCCAGATCTTTCATTGTTGTGGATGGGACACTACAAAGTGCTGGGAACTACACTATGAGTTACACCATGACAAAATTCAAGGTGTCACAAGTTTCTCAAAGAAGAATTTCAAAGCTACAGCCACAAACCTGTTTCATTTGGATTTTAACAACATTTTAAAAATATTCAAAAGCAATCAATAAAATATTAGCACAAACAATTAAAAGAGAATTGACAATTAAAAAGATGGCACCAAGCAAGGTGGAAGACTAAACAGGACTAAAGCTTTGCTGAACTAGTTGTAGGAAACTGCTTTTCACAGAGACATTGTCATAAGGCTGTGAACAAATGGACTAGACAGTTTAGGTTTTCCTTTACCCTTAGGCCACTGGAAGTAGGAAATTCCTTTCCTGAAGTCTCGTGTATTACCTTAAGGCATATATCTGCATATGCTTGAGTATGTGCCATTCACATTCACTGCTGTTATGGAAAAGCTTTCCCCACTGTGCAGAGGAGGTTCTATATTTCCAAACATGCACTTCGTATTGTCTGCCTGGAAAATGTAATTCAGAATGTTTACGTTTTAGTTTTCTTCTACGGGTTTACACAGTGCTACTCCCTGTAGAAAGGGCTTAAGCTTGTGCTTGATTTGTAACAGTGGGACCACTACAATAGTGAAGTAGGTACCGATGGCTTCTCAGGCTCGATAATTGTCTTCCCAGAAGATCAATGAAGATGATTCTGTCTATCTACTCCACTCTTGTGAGATCACACTTGCAGTACTGCGCCCAGCTTTGGGGTCCCAAACTTAAGAAGGACATGGGCCTCTTGGAGTGAATCCAAAGGAGGGCCACAAAGATGATCAGAGGGTTGGAACACCTCTGCTATGAGAACAAGCTGAGAGAGTTCAAGTTGTTCAGCCTGGAGGTGAGAAGGCTTTGGGGAGACCTCATAGCAGTCTTTCAATACTTAAAGGCAACCTATAAGAAAGACAAGGACAAACTTTTTCGCTGGGTCTGTTACGGTGGGACAAGGAGTAATGGTTTTAAACTAAAAGAGGGTAGACTTGGACTAGATAGCTCAAAAAAGTTTTTTTACAATGAGGGTGGTGGAAAACTGGAGCAGGTCGTCCAGAGAAGTTGTGGACTCCACTTCACTGGTCATCAGGCTAGATGTGTCTTTGAGCAACCCAGCGTAGTGAAAGATGTCCCTGCTCATGATATGGTGGTTGAACTAGATGATCTTAAAAGTTGCCTTTCAACCCAAACCATTCTATGATTTTATGAACCTACTTGGCCTTCAAGAGTCACTCCAGAAATACTGTGTCTTCACAATCTTATATGTCACACCAGTCAGCCCTGAGTAAGCATATCACTGCATCTCCAGCGTCCCTGAAAGATTTTTCTTAGGTAAGTGAGTAAGGACTCATTTAGTCTGTCCTTTGTACTTAAAAATTCTCATCTGCACAGCATAAGATGCCTCTCACCAAAGTTCCTCTGAAATAAAGAAAATAGTCAATCTTATACTTCAGTCCTATCAAGGCCCTGATTCCACGGGACATCTCTGAAGAAAAGAATTTCATGAGAATGGCTGGAGAGGACAAGTATGCCTCAGTACTGAGAGAAGTCTCAACAGAATCTAGAAGGGACTGGTAAAACAGAAACTATGTTTTTTCCTACCAAGGGTACTTTTTTTCTGTTACTTAAGGATACGAAAGGGAAAGAAGGAAGTGTAATGATTTCTCTGCTAGAAGTTTAAATTTGCCATTATAGTCTCAGTCATTGAAAAACAGTGCTCGGTGAAATTCATGCTGCTCGTCCAAATCAGTTCCACTTTCCACTGACTGAGCGTCAAATTTCTAACAGGCAAGTCTGGCATCTCTGCTCCAAGTGTCACATAATAGGATCAGTAAGATGAAAGATTGATTCCCAGATTTGTGGGGGCAGAGATTACTACCTAGTACATCTAAGACAGAAGGTAACTTAAGCACAACTACCTGTAATGAGAAGCACGTCACACTCCACCTCCTAGGATTGCCACGTGGAATTGTACTACTCACAGTTTGTGCAGTGCCAGACAATGCACATCTGGATGATCAGCAACTTCCACTGGGTCACGAAGATGAGTGCAAGAGGAGCAACCATCTCTTCCTCCTTGGAGACAGAGAACAGTGAAACTCGCTCAAGAAGAAAGACACCAGTACGAACAACGCTTCCCTAAATTTGTGTAGTCTGACCTGCTCATATGCCTGCTTCTACACCATCTGACCATCTCTCAGCTCTGATGTGAGGAAAGATTAGGTAGACTTCTCAAGCAGTCAGAGAAATGTTCAAATAAACAGTAACAAAGTTAAAGAATTTGTCCTTTTATGTAAGAAAACAATTTGTGTGATGGTTTGTAAACCTGGTGATCTTAGGACCACTGTATAAACTTTACATACTCCTATCTTAAGGTCTAAAAATTCTTTATCTATATCTGCTATACATAAAGGTTAGGGTGAATAGACAACAAGCATGTGGGTAAACAGCTGCAAACAGAAAATATCCAAATGGGTCACAGCAATATCAGTCAGTTCAAGTTACCCACTGGTGAATATGGTAAGGTTGGTGAGGGTGTTATTTCACCTACTTTCAAGGATGTTTTTGAGTATATCCTTAAAAGGATCTAGGAGCGGTGTCTAACTTCTACAAATTCAGTACCAAACCCAGCAAGAAAATGAAAACAAACCTTTCTTAGCAGGCAGTAGTTGCTTTATTTGCAACAAACTTCATTCAGCCTGTCTGATAGCTTTTTAGATTTTGCCCGGAACATCACCCTTCCAGCCCCGGACTTCCTAGAATCTCAGTGAATACCTCAGCACACAAAATAGTCAGAAAGGCAAAGATTGACCTACCTTATATTTCATAATGTCTTTATCTCGTTTATCTTTCTGTCATAGTCTTCAGACTCACAAAAGATGGAAAAACTTGTCTTTTAATAATTATATAGCTATAAAAAGGGCTGTTTCGCTTGCTGCTTTTTCGGGAACCGTTGTACCATCGGAAGTGTCGCAAGATACTATCTTCATCACTTCCCTCCTGATTCTTACCAAGTTCACGTAATTGTACAACTCATGATTTCATATAATACGAATAAGCAGTTAGCTGGTTAAATTTTTGTTTCTGTTGTGGAATCCACTGGTAATTGGAAATCCAGCAAACACCTACAAATATTTTCTTTTACAGCTATTTCTCTCTAGATCTAAATAATGCTGAGTACTACAAAGCGCATCTTAATACAAGCCAAAGTTGGGGGCTGGGAGCAGTGGGGACTCCCTACGGAGGACAGCGGGGCAGAGTCTGGCAGCCTGGGCCCATCTCAGACCCAGGCAGGAGCAGGGCAGAGCTGGGGGCCACTGGGGCAGCCCCAGCCCCAGGCATTGGGCACCTCCATGGGGATGGCCCAAGGTCCAAGCCTGGCTTAGTGGGGCCCATGGCCAGGCAGGGCAGGGCTGTGGGAGCTGGAGACCGGCCCTGCTGCAGTGACGTTGGGGCAGGGGTTGACATTAAGATACACCAACACTTTCCTCTTAAAAATAGGCATATCTGTTCTGTTGGAGTTAAAAAAATTGTAAGAGAGAGAACTGTACACGTGCTTCTCTATCACTCCTATTTCTTACTTGCTGTATTTGGAAAAAGTCACGTGCTGCCCAGCACCCTTCCAGGATGCTCCAAGATTCACCTTTATCAAATCCCCAAGGACATTCCTATCCTACTGCTTCCTCTTCTGCAGTAATTCATATATCAACTATTCATACATAACTAAGATATAGTTATTTCCAAAAGAGAAAGCCAAAGGTAGTGCAGTGCTGTCTGTCTTTGGGGACAAAGAGGGCTTTCTTTATAGAGACCCAGAAGTGCCTAGGCTCATGAGTATTTCTGTTTCCTAGATTCCTGTTAGAGTATGAGACTGACGACTGATGAGCTCTAAGTGCACTGTCATTTCCCAGGTTCATTCTCTCTTGCTTTGCTTGAAAATATGATCCTGAGCTGTCACTAGGATCAGCCAGCACTTCAGAATGGATATCTGACCTGCTTTCTTCTCAGCCCCTCATATAGTATAAAGGAAATGGGTGTGGCACAGCAAGTCTACTCATTATATTAGCAATTTTTTTGATGCAAAAATATTTTCTACAAAAATAAAAATTGAACCAGCTTGACTTCCGCTTACATGCATTACTGGAAGCTTAAAGCAAAGCATGAACTGAAAAAACATGTATTAATTGACACCCTATGGATGTGTTTCTGTATTTGATTACATCTATCAGCAACTCACTATTGGTTGACGAAATGAGCAACTGACCATAAGCACGCAAAACTGGAAATGCTCCAGTCATCCTAGAAACAGTAATCATGAGGAAATCAAAAGAGTGTGGCCTGAAGGCCATTCCTCCCTTTTTCAGAGGGAAAGGCCTAAGGCAATGGTGGCTTTATAAGGATGAATTCATTGGGGTTCACTTTCATCATATGCCAGGAGACAACAAAAATATGGCAAAGTTTTTCTGAAGCATAGCTTTGAAGTAAACAGGGGGGAATGAGGGACACATAGGAATAGGTGGCTATTCTCCTAAAAAGCAGATTTAGTCATAGAAGAAGCTTTCTTTTAAAAAGAGTCACCATGACTACTCCTATAATTTTAAAGGTGTCAACAGACAAAGCAAATGAAAATTTAGACTTCAGGTCTGGGCTCATGATAGTCATTCATTGGAAAAGAAAGCTTATTGTCAGAAGTTTCATTGAACTTCCAGATTAAGGATACTCCATACTTGTCTCTATAGGTATTCTTTGAACACTAGCTGTGCTGTAAAGGTGGAAGAAAAGACTTCTGATCACAAAGAATGAAAAAAACCCCACACTTTATTTTATCCTTGCCTTTGGAAGAAAGCACTCAATTTTGTGGTGGTAACAGACAACATTTTGTGGAGAAAGGAGGAGGGAAAGTGCCCAGGGTAATAAAATCAGAGCCATAGGAAATGTCACAGGGAATCTAAGGGGTTTCTGGAAAATTAAGAATCACAGAATCACAGAATTACAGAATCACAGAATCACAGAATTGCTGTAGTGTAGATTGGAAAAGACCTTTAAGATGATCAGGTTCAAACATTAACCTGACACTGACAAGTCCTTGACTAAATCATATCACTAAGGACTTTGTCTACCTCACTCTTAAAGACTTCCAAGGATGGGGACTCCACAACTATTCTCTGCAACCTCTTCCAATGCCTGATAATCCTTTCAGTAAAGAAATTCTTTTTAGTATCCAATCTAAAACTGCCTTGGTGCAGCTTGAGGCCATTTTCTCTTGTCCTGTTACTTGTTACTTGGTTGAACACACTGATATCCACCTCACTACAATCTCCTTTCAGGCATTTGTAGAGAGCAGTAAGGTCTCCCCTCAGCCTCCTTTTCTCCAAGCTAAACAATCCCAGTTCTCTCAGAAGCTCCTCATAAGACTTGTGCTCTACATCCTTCACTGGCTTCTTTGCCCTTATTTGGGCACACTCCAACACTTCAATATCCTTCTTGTAGTGAGGGGCCCAAAACTGAACACAATACTCAAGATATGGCATCACCAGTGCCTACTACAGGCAGAAAATCACTTCCCTGATCCTGCTGGCCATGCTATTCCTGATAGAGACAGGGATGCTGTTGGATATCTTGGCCATCTGGGCACACTGCTGGCTCATATTCAGCTGGCTATCAGTCAATACCTCCAGCTCCTTCTCTGCTGAGCAGCTCTCCAGCCACTCCTCCCCAAGCCTGTATCATTGCCAGAAGGTTGTTGTGGCCAAATACAGGACCTGGCATTTGGTCTTATTGAAACTTATACAATTGGTCTTGGCCCATCAATCCAGCCTGTCCAGGTCCATCTGCAGAGCCTCTCTACCCTCAAGCAGATCTTCCACCTAGCCTGGTGTCATCTGTAAACTTACTGAGTGTGCACTCCATTCCCTCATCCAGATCATTGATAAAGACGTTAAACAGGAGTGGTCCCAGTACAGAGCCCTGGGGGACAACACTCGTGACTGGCTGCCAACTGGATTTAACTCTCTTCACTGTCACTCTTTGGGCTTGGCTTGTAGAATGCTTCATCTACCTCTCCATCCTGGCTGGGTGAGCTATCACAGACTCCCAATGGGATATCTGCTTTGTTGGCCTTTCCCCTCATCCTCACCCAAGGAAGACTAAGTTTGTGTGCATCTGCATTTCTCTCTCCCTTCCCCAGTCTCTCACTTCCCTTGGTCTCCATCCTCCAACAGGTCAATTCCCGGAGTGTTAAGCAGTCTCCATCTCACTCCATTGGCAGACACATCCAAACCAGGAACTCTGCTCTCTTTCTGGCACCTCACATTGCCGACGTAGAGAAGGGAGAGAGTTGAGGTGAGCCATGCAGCCCAGAGATTGGGCTGGGGAGGGGGAGCGCAAGGATCAGTTGTACCAAAGTTGCACTTACTGATCCTGCTCCCCTTTAGAGATGATGTTTGAGGGCAGCTGTTTATCTGAGGAAGCTGTAGCCCCACAGTCCTGTTTCTTGGCAAAAGCAGTTGGACCACAAGGCTGTGCCCACTGGCAGCTGCGGTTGGATTGCTGGGCAATGTCTGTATCTGAGACATCCTTTCATGTTGATGCAGTTTATGTCAATACATTATAGGTTAGAAATTAACTCCACTAGGCAATGAAAAAATATGCCTTTGTTAGATAAGTAGGATAGGTCTGTCTAAAGTAGAAGTTTAAAATTCTGAGTTATTAGTATAGTTATTAACCCATGAAAACCTGTTTAGAAGGTCAAAAGAAGTAAGAAACTAGGGGAAAGGTAATTCCAGCAGGGTGAGTTCACAATCACTGACTCGCAGACCACCTACCCCAGTTACACCCCTGACCCAAAAGTTTAGGATGGGAGAGGCCAACTAGTGATGTGTACTAATTTACATGCAAGATGAAGGAACTCTAACCAATCATTTAATAGAATAACAATTTATATATATTCAAAAGTTAGTTATATTAATGTTTTTTATATAAATAACTCTGAATTTGAGGATTCAGTGTGCTGTCTTAAGACATGCACATATACATGCTCATCTATGAAATAAAAGGAAATATCTCTG